TGAAATTCTGGGAAACGGAAACTGAGGAGCAAACCCACAATCCGGGAATGGAAGTTATTGTAGATGGGACAAATGCTTCTCATTTCCCTTCAGGAAAAGAAAAAAGGGGGTGCCTGGGTGGCTCAGTCTGTTGGGCATCCAACTCTTGATTTTGGCTCAGATCATGATCTCAGGGTCCTGGGATCAAGCCCCTCATCTGGCTCTGCCCTCAGTGGGGAGTCTGCTTGAGAGTCTCCCTCTCTCTCTGCCCCTCCCCCCTCACATAAATAAATAAATCTTTTTAAAAAGAAAAAAAAGCAGAAAACAAAAGATGCTAAAAGTATAGGCCAAACCGAAGGTCAGCAAACAGAGAATTCTTGGTCCTTCCTTAGTATTTTCGGATTATAGGCTTGTCCCTGGGCTTTATTTCCTCTGCAGGCAGTTCACATGCTGCAGAGAATTCCTAGTTCACAACTTGATTCATTTAATCCTCAATGGGAGCCTTATTGTAGCAGAATCACTTGGGGACCTATTCCAAAATATATATCCATTCCAATCTCAAGATTTTGATTACTTCTCCTCACCCCAAATGTAGGAAATCAGTATTGCTTAAAGCCTTTTTTATAAAAGGGAATATGTTGAAACTCTTGGTTGTACTGAAAGAAAGAAAATTAGGAGTACTGCTTTTAGGAGTTATACAAATTCTCTTTTGGTCTCAGTAGAAAATTAAAAAAAAAAATATTGGGATGCCTGGGTGATCAGTCAGTTAAGCTTCAGCTGAGGTCATGATCCCAGGGTCCTGGGACTGAGCCCCACGTCTTGTTGAGCGGAGCCTGCTTCTGCATCTCCCTCTGCTTGCCACTCCCCCTGCTTGTGTGCTCGCTTTCTCTCTCTCTCTCTCTCTCTCTCTCTTTCTTGCTCTCTCTCTCTCTCTCTCACTGTGTCAAGTCTTTCTATAAAATAATAAAAATATTACCCGGACCCTTTCCTCCATGGACTTAAAATGCCCAGACGATGAAAGTGGCCAGGTTGAGTTGTAGGAGTTGGAATGGGGAATCAAGAGCCACAAGAACACATGCAGTAAAAATGTTTCCTTCAACCAGAAAGTACCTGAACAGTCTACTATTACTACCATTCCTGGTGGATTCTTTTAAGAATTAAGGTATTTTGATGCATCAAAGTGATGCATTTCCTAGTGAATGCATTCGCCTGGATTAATCTAACCTCACACCTGCCTTCAGCAGCAGGGGGTTCTGAGGGAGCAGAACAAAAGACATGTACATTTCGATCATCAGGAAGCATTGCACACACGGTGGCTTTGTGCAATGTGATAGTAAGAGGCTCTAAGCAAGGGAGAGCCTTCAGGAGGTACTGGGGGGAGAGGAGAGGACTGCCATCTTCGAAGAAGAGACAAACTGTGACTAGTTTATAATTGTTGAATAGGACCTGCCTGCCAAATCATGGGGTATTAAATTGTACTTCATAACGTGATCTTCTGTAAGGTGAAACATCCAAAATTCTTTTAAATCTTTCATGATATTCTTTGATATTGTACAAATATCATTTCCGAAATACTATATATGATTGCTTGTATAAACAAAAAGATCTAGTTGGTAAATAAAATTTTAACTTTAGTCTCCACAGAGGATTACAATAGAAAAATGGAAGTGAGCAGAAGATATAAGAAATGGAAAAACTGTGAAATGAGCATATCACAAGCCACCTCTCAGGGCATTCCGGCTCCTCAGAGAATACTATTGTTGAATTAATCCAGGAGTCACATAAAAGTAGGAAAGTTGAACTCCCCCTGCCCTGAGTTTCCTTAGAGCACCTTCACGGTCACAGCTGTTGTGGTCCAAGCCACCAAACCCTCCCTAGATGTTCAGCTTGAAACCACGATAAATAGCATGTCACCAGATCTGCGTTCACTGCGAGGTAACTGCCTGCCACATGACGGCTGGTGTAATGGCAAGACATTTAGGAGCGTCCACTGGAGCAATAATGTCGTGCGTTGTCCTGATCAGTGTCTGAAATACTCTGCCTTGAAGACATGCTTTATAAAATACATAGTATGAGCTATGATATAGCTCAGAAGCCGTTTATTTTAAATGAGGGAAAAGGATTAGTCCTTTGAATTATTTAAATTTATCTTCACCTATAATATGCCTCAGATGACGTGTTCTGCCGTAATAGGTAAAAACGGTCATAGGTTTTCCAAATTGATAATCCCTTCCCACACATAGCAACACACATAGACCTTTTTCTTTCTCTTTAAAAATACTGTTAAAATGTTTATGGTTCTTCAGGATTACATGTTGAGCTGGGATAATAAATATGTATAAATATGCAGATGCTCTATCGAATCATTCCTTATCCCATTTGTATTTTCCAAGTTGTATAAGATAACCTTTGTGGCTTTCAAAAACATCTTCTCACGCCCTAGGGGGCAAATTACCTCTATTTTCATTTCCTTTAGAGTTAGATCATTTTATAATTAAGAACTTATTGAAGCAGATTCTCCCCACGTGTAAGTTACTCCCTGGGGAGTAATTTATGCAAAGAGTGCCTCTGACTTAATATCATATAAGTCTAACAACTGTACAGTGGATACCTGGTATTTTTAGTCAATTTTGTAATCATTATAAAGAATCCACTGTTTGAAAGTTTATCACTAAAAAAAAAAAATACAAATAATGTATAGTGTCATTCAAGTTTTTCAAATAAGATTTTTAATAAAGGAATATTAACATGGTCTGTTATAATTCTTGTCCAAGAGCATTAGAAATACCAGCTAACAGTAATTCTGATGCTGATAAAGACTGACATTTTGTAGCTCTTTACTATTTGCCAGGCTCTTCTACATAAAATATCTCATTTAATCCTCACAAATCTATGACATTTGTCAGCTAAACCTTATAAGCCAGAGAACAAAATAAGAATTTGATCTTGGCCATGGACCCAATCATTAACAGAGTAGAGACAGGAATCTAGGAAAACAGAATAGACTAAATCAAATCTCACATTTTTCCCCATATCACAAAACCTTGAAAACAAATACCAGTTCTTCTCATCTGAAAGCTGAAGAAACAGAACCAATATAAATAGTTAAGCTAATAACTATTTTAGTTGACTTTGTCTCATCTCCTGATGTTTTTATCATTATCTCTTTAGCTGGTGCTATTGGAATAATATCAGAATTCAAAATTGTATTCATGTCGTATCCCTGCAGTAGGCAGAGAAAGGGTTACTGGACAAAGAATCAGGAAAATTGCCTAACTTCTAGTTGCCATCTCCCAAATCACCTCAAGGGCATCATTAACCACTTGGATCTCAGTTTTCTCATATGAAAAATAGGGCCATAATGCTGAATTTTTTGCTTACAAAGATGACTTGAACCTACTGTGAAATTCTTGATTTCAAAAAATTGAATATGCTCCCCTAAAGCTAAGTATTATCTTTTTTAAAAAATGTAAAACAATAAGAAAAAGAGGGTTATGTCTTACATTTATGTGTTTTGTATATTCCAGGGTGAGAAACTGTAGAAAAGCATCCAAATGGCAGATTGATGTACAAAGCATTTTGAGGCATATTTTGCATAATTATTTTAAATTGGGAACGGGAATAGCAGCTCTTCCTGGTGTGTACAATTTTAACAACACTTAGAATACTACCAGAGACATAGGAATTACTACATTCTAAATAAAGTTTATCTCATGGATTCATCCATAACCTCGATGCTGATGACTTAAAATCATCTTTCCAAAAGATTCTGTCTACAGGTGCCTACCCGTACACACAGGCGAGTTGGAACTCCCACGCCCCACCACATTCCACAAAGCAGTTGCCTTACCAATAACCCCATTTGTGTCAAACCTGCTGTTGAACCTAACCCTCAAGGGCGAAGCTAGAAGTCACCTTTGATTCTCCATCGATTTCTGCCTGTGTCCTTTCTTTCATTGATCCTGATTGAACTATCTTTCTGTTTGCTTCTTCCTCTCCATTTCTCCTGCCATGCATGTAATCCACACTTTCATCTCCTAACAGGTTTGGAATAGCTTTTAATTGATCATCTTATTTTTGGGTGGCTGGCTGAACCCACCTTTCTAAGGGACCCACACCCCGTCTTCCATCGTGTCTTCACCCCGTTCCCTTCCTTGGATCCTTATGGGCAGCGGTATCAGGTGAAAATTCCTCTGCCTTCACTCTCAGGAGCTCCACAGTCTTACATCACTCCTCGTCCCTAACCGCGTGGCCCACGTTTCCAGTAGAGCCCAGTTGTCTGCCCCACCACTCACGAGCCAGTGTCGTTCCAGACCGCCGCTATTCCATTCTGCTGGCAGAAACGCCCTTTGCCCTTCACATCAGCCTAACCTCATGGTACACAATCTTCAAAATCAGCCCAAATGTCTTCATCTCCACGAAATCATTTTGTTTGTATTGAAGTCCTAGTAGCCACCTGTTTTTATCATTTTCCCCGGATTTCTCCATGTATTAATTCTGTGGTATTAGTGAAATTATTTGTGTCATTAATAGATCATATCTTGTGCCAACAAGATATTTTATTTTTTATTATTTTTTATCTTTTATTATTTTCATGGTCATGTGGAGTATGCTCAATAATATCGTCACTGTTGACGTTTTCACACGTAAACATCCAGCCCCATCATGTATAAAGCCTCCACCACCCCTTCCAGTTTTGCTTTATTTACTTATTTAAAATACTGTTGAAATAAAGCAGTGGGATAGTTCTCAGTGACCTAATGTTTGAAGTGCAAAATAAGAAAACCAAAGCCACGGGTTCAAGGGATTTTTGAGTCAACTTAATAATCAGGTCGAGTTTAAAAAGGAGAAAGCAGTGAAGTAGGCGTTTAGAAAACTTCTGGTCCCTGGTTATATTTTTCAGTCTTAGAAAAACAAAGCAAACAGTGGTAGATAGCTGCCCTTTCACTCACAAGAAACTTCAGGAAGCCATTCAAAGAGTGGCGGGCGACCCCACCCCAGGGTCCTCAAACACGAAGGTCATGCCGGGAGAGGTGGGAAGGGAGACAGGAGAGCCAAAGGAAGAAGCTCAAAATGTCTCTTTTCCCCTTTCAGCACAAATTGAAGTGATACCATGCAAAATTTGTGGCGATAAATCCTCCGGGATCCACTATGGAGTGATCACGTGTGAAGGCTGCAAGGTAGGAGACTTTAACACAGCACTGCCCACAGCATCATGTTTGCCTCAGGCATTGGTGTACCTCCCCGTGCACGTGGTGACATCTTTTTAAAGAGGGCCCGCTGAAGGATGCTTATGCCTACTGCTGACACGTGGGAATTTCTGCTTGGTGTGTGGGTGGGTTGGTTTTCTGTTCTTTGGCCTTTCAGCTCTTTCGTGATTGCCTACCTGGTCAGCAGCTATTTAAAAATGGATTGGTATTTAAAAGCTTGAATTAGTCACATTTACAGAGAAAGAAATACAGCTTCTTGCTGTTTTAACAGTATTGTCTTGAGTAAACTCAAGGGCATTGATTACTAGGTGAAACAGCTAAAGCTTAAAGATGACAAGCCAATGGCCTAGATTTATTTATCTGCTTGAGAAAGAAGTCAGAGGTAACAGTTGCAATATGCATATGGCCATCCTTTATTCTCACATTCCAGAAAAATAAAAGTAGAAGCATGGAATGTCAGAAGTGTACCAGATAATCTCTAAATCAATTAAAAATTATCTGCCCCAACCTCCTCATTTTTCAATGAGATAATGAGATATAAACAAGATCATATCATTTGGCCAATGTCACTGATCTTGTTAGTAAAAAAATACGGCCCAAAACACAAGATTTTTCATTCTCAATCCAGTGTTCCTCTCCAAGGAGAGATTCAATCAACCCTACCAAAGACAAACGAATTCCTATGAGGAAGTTGCTCTTAAAATATGAAGTTGAAAATAGCAGTTAACATAGACCTAATCTGAAATAAGAGAATCTTGAAAGTTCACAGTAAGTTTTTAAAATTCTTCCTTAGAAAGAAAGAAAGAAAGAAAAAAAAAAACGAGTGAGCGACTAAATACCACGGAGGAAATGAAAACCAGTTCCACACCTAATTTCAAAGGGCAAAATGTCACCAGAACAAACAAAATGCAGCTACACTCTGCGAGTGAAAAGTGATATTTTGGCAAAGTTATTGGCGAAAGCAATCATATTTTTGATCAAAGAGGGAAGCAGGGTGAATCATTAAGATCAGTAGACTGGGGGCCCCTGGCTGGCTCAGTTGGTAGAGCACACGACTCTTGATCTCAGGGTTTTGAGTTCGAGCCCCACATTGGGTAGAGAGATTACTTAAAAAAATAATTAAAAAAAATTTTTTTAAATCAGTAGACTGAAGGAGATGTAGCACCATCATAGATTCTAAGAGCCAACCTTAGTCCTAACAGATTCAAATATACGTGAAATAAAACATACCATAACCATCAAATAGTGCTATGTGAAAAACTGGCAGTGTCTTCATAAGAGTCTCCAAAAAGTATGATTCCTGGAATTGAAACTGGAGCAAAGAAAAGAAAAAGAAAGAAATGAAAATAAAGTGGGAAAGGATGCAGAGAGGGAAGAATAACATGAATGTAACTAACCCATCAACATCCTGCTTCAAAGGTGATTAGTGATAATCCATATTTGAACATCATGAGACACGCCTTGCATTCTCTTCCTCTGCAGACCTACAATTGAGAATCGCATGTTATCACACCTTAATGCAATTGTTTCCAACTCATCAGAAGAAACAATAAAGCAAAATTAGAAATAAGTAATTTTTTACTCTCCTTAGAGTAAGATATTACTACCTCTGGGAGGTAGACAAATAGTTTTCTTCGTAAACACTGATAATTTTAGAATTTGAACCCTCCAGGGAAAGGTTTTCCACCACTCTGTTGGTTTATTATGCAATTTTAAGGCCTCTGGTCTAGTTCACAAAGTATCCACCAAATAAATTTTTTTTAGGCCAGTGTCAAAGTTTGAATGTTTTGTGTTTCATTGTATAAGCTCTGTTAGGAAAATGCCTGCTTTCAAAATATGAGCGTATGTTCATGTTAACGAGCAAAACATTTTAAACAGTAGTTTCCAGAAGATTTAACTATGGAACAAATATATTCCAACAGGTCAATAGTCAGAAACAAGTGTGTAGGTTCCTGTCATCTTTTCTATTTAAAGAAGAAGACACAATCCTAGAAATTACACTGCTGTTCGGAAGCATACTCTGAAGTTGTAGCCAAAATGACATTGTACACAACACTAATTTTTTTTATTTCCTGGGAAAACCCACATGTGTAAATATGCTGCATTTTTCTCCAAATAGAAAACTCAAGAAACTCTGTTCAGAATAAGATGTCAGAATCCCCACATTCAGTATCAACCTCTGAATTTTCATAATACGGTTTTTGAGTCAACATAAACAACCCATTTCAAATAACATCAATTCAGCTTGTGCACTTATTCAAATTCCTCCTCATTCAATAAAATTTGAAACAGAATCTCTTTTTCATGCCAAAGACCTCATTTGCAATAATGAGCAACAGAGAAGCAAGAAATGCCTCGTAATTAATGTCAAATTGGCCTTAAATTAGGACTGTAGCTGTGACTTCAAAAGTCTTCTCTGTCAGCTCTTTTGCTAAGTGGCACTAGAGTATCCAAAGATAAAAACCACCAATTCTTTCTTAAAATGTAAATTCCAAGTCCTCTTTTATCAAGACTGATGGGCCAAAGTTATGGCTTCTGACAGCTTTGATGGTACAGATCTTCCTTGACCTACGTGGGGGTTATGTCCCTGCAAACTCAGGGTGAGTTGAAAATATCTTAAGTCAAAAATGCATTTAATGAAGGGGAGTAAGTCGGAGGGGGAGAGGAACCATGAGAGACGATGGACTCTGAAAAACAAACTGAGGGTTCTAGAGGGGAGGGGGGTGGGGGGATGGGTTAGCCTGGTGATGGGTATTAAGGAGGGCACGTTCTGCATGGAGCATTGGGTGTTATGCACAAACAATGAATCATGGAACACTACATCAAATACTAATGATGTAATGTATGGTGATTAACATAACAATAAAAAAATTTTTTTAAATGCATTTAATACACTTAACCTACCCAACATCATGGCTTAGCCTAGCCCACCTTAAATGTGCCGGGAACACTTACATTAGCTTATAGTTGGGCAAAATCATCTAACACAAAGCCCATTTTATAATAAAGTGTTGAATATGTTTGGTAATTTATTGAATACTGTACTGAAAGTGAAAACCAGAATGGCTGGGAGTGCATGGGGTTGTTGACCCTCGTGATCGCCAGTCTGACTGGGAGGTGAGGCTGCAGCCCTGCCCAGCATCACAAGAGGGCACCATACCGCCTCTCACTAGCCTGGGGAAAGATCCAAATTCAACATTCAAAGTATGGTTTCTACTGAATGCATACTGCTTTCACACCATCTGTAAAGTCAAAAAATCATAAATTGCACCATTATATGTTGGGAACCATTTGTCCAGTTCGAATGAATTCATGGAGCCCTTTAAAATAGAGCTCACATCCAAGCCCCCAGGGATTGAAATGATGTATTCCCTATACAAATGGTTCCCAACAAATTATCTAAGTAATACACATGGATCTTTGGGCACCAGACTACTCCTTGTTTTGAATGGCTTGAGGCTTACAACACAAAACCGGTTGGCATTTTTTCTCTCTAAAAAGATACCAGGCTACACATCCATTTCTGTAGTTCTTCACAAGAGTGGCCAAGCTCTCTTCACGTGCCACGCCATGCCATATGAGAGCCCCAAATAATCCTGATCCTCTTTAAACTTTTTGGGGTGTTTTGCATTAATGTTGATTCTTAATATATTGTGTTAAAATATTACTTATCCTGATGAACAAGTTTTTTGGCTATTCTCAAATTTTGTGGCCAAGATGGATGCCACACTAGCTGCAACCCTAGTCCCACCCCTGCTCTATCCTTCTGTTGATAATTGAGGAAACCCAGATATTCCCCTGTAGGGTTTTCTGTAAGATGACCAATCCATAACTCAGCTATGGATTTATTTAGGAGGGTAGTGTATGGTCCATGGCAGTTAAGTTTGTACCAGAAAACCCCAAACTTACTTGCATAAAAACTTCGTACATCTCCCTAGCCTGAGGCCAAGCAAAGAGCATGAGTTCAGCTTTTACTTATTTCTTATTTTTATTGAAGATTTTATATACCATATTTCCTTTATTTAAAGATGAGGTTAATTATAAGGCATATCACTGGTTTAAAAAACAACCTTCCAGATGCATTCTGGCCAAATTTAAAATTTTTCAAATAGGTAAAAATGCATCTTAGAAACTAGGAAGATCGTGGTACATGCTGCGCCCGCCCTCCTCAGTACAGCTATCATGACCAACACCCCAAGTTCCTCACCCCCACAGCACTTACCATAAGGTTGTGTTATTGTCCCCATCACGTTTTGTCCTACTTGGCTTGGCAGTGACACTGTCCTTTGCCACGCCTTCTCCACTCACTGCTCTTTGAGGGCAGGAGCTCTGTTCTGTTTTTCTTTGTATAGAACAACACAGGTCACAAATGTCTTTAGTAAACATTGATTAAATGAATGAATGAAAGATACCTTCATCTCTCTGTCGATAGTACATATTTTCCCGAGTAGAAACATCCGTAAGCTAACCAGGGAGAAGTGTCAAAAAAATTTTTTTAATTAAACTCTGTTCCAGTCACTGTAGAAAATGTAGCAAAGATACATAATTATCTCCATTTTCCTTCTTATAAATCAATCTCCCTCCCTTTCTCTTTTGGCTTCTAGGGCTTCTTCAGGAGGAGCCAGCAAAACAATGCCTCTTATTCCTGCCCAAGGCAGAGAAACTGTTTAATCGACAGAACGAACAGAAACCGTTGCCAACACTGCCGACTGCAAAAGTGTCTTGCCCTAGGAATGTCGAGAGATGGTGAGACACTGACTTCCTGTTTTTTACTTAAAGGCTTTCACATGGATGCTTTGCTGGAGTCTGTTTAAACCACCAGAATGATTCTAGACAAAGGGAATTGGGGATACAAAGAAAAGAAAACCATGTGCTGGTAGTGCGTGAAGAGGAAAAGTAAGAACGTATAAAAACATTGCATGGCCTCTGAAGTAGGAAGAAAGGAAAGACTTCACTATAACTCAGGGAGCAACCTGTGCTAACAAGGTTTGGTGAGAGCCACATAGGCCTAGGTTGAAACTTATCTAGGTTTGCCCACACGTGAGCAGTTTTCTAGGATGAGATTTTCAGAGCCGAAACCAGGGAAAGTTTCAGGCAAACTGGGACCATTTGGTCACTGGGTAAGTCTGACAGGTGCACAAGTTGCTTGGTATGTGGAGATGTTAAGGAACAGCATGCATTGCTGTAGGAAGCCCAGAAGTTCTACTATTGGGCATGGACTTTTGTGAAGCATCATGAAAATTGCAAAGGCTATAACAGAAGTCCAAGTCTTAAAAGGGCTGTGTGGGTGGTGTCCTTCTCGTAATATGGCCCAAATGGGTGAGGTGGGTCCCCAACTGAATTTCTTAGATTAATGAAAGAGAACAAATAAACTCAAAGAATTTCATTGAGTGTTGCTTCCATTTTTAAGCACTCATCTCAACTAATTATTTCCCCACTGACTTTGGCTCCAGCACTCCTGTATCAGGTTGTGAGTAACCCTGAGTCCTGGGGCATTTCTGTCTTGTTCTCACTGTATCCTCAGGGTCTGGTTAAAAGCAGGCACCTCTTTAGGTTTGTTGAATGAACGGTGGAATTCTCTTTTACCTAGAGCCTGAGACACAGACAGTACCCCTGGGACTTTTTCTCTTTATGTGAATCATTGTGGATTCTCTACCTCTGGTCACACTCCTTCTAATGAAGTTCAAGGTAGTATGGATGAAAGGAGGGAAGGAAGGAAGGAAGGAAGGAAGGAGGGAAGGCAGGCAGGCAGGCTGGCTTTCATACTTTAAAGAAATATGGGTAATTGGCACGCACCATCTCTTGGTATAAAGGGATTTTATGAGTTATTAAGTTACTGTGAGCCTTTTACTCATTTGAATGAAATCAGTTCTCCATTAGTCTTGATATCTAAACATATAAACTGCTTACTTCTTAGCTTGCATTCTCAAAATACTTATATCATAAATTTTTGTTTACCTTTTTTCTACTTCCCAACCCATCTAACTTTTCCTTGCATAAAAGTATACCTAGGAGACAAATTTGACCAAAAACATTGAAAGAAGTTTATAGGTAGCTTCTAAAGTTGCAGAGATAGAAGTTCCCAAAACTTTTCTATTAACTAACTGACTCTTTGTTTTTCTAGACTTGCTAACTGTGTAGATTACTCCTAGGGTAAATCTTTTGCACTGTGTACCCCCACACAACTAAAGTGAAGATGGTGGAGAATGGGGATTTAGTGGTTTTAAGAATTTATTTGGTGAAATTGTATGGGAACTTGAGTTGATGATTTTATACCTCATTTTCACCATAGTGAGGCAGCATATTAATTGACAGTATATGAATTGTCAGTATGTATTAATAATTGAGCAAAAAGAATAAGCCTTTGGTTATTTGTCTTTGTTACTTCTTCCTACAATAAAAGAAAGTGTCTCTCTTGGAAGGGCAGATCTTGGGAGTCCATGCTGGTGAACAGAATTATGTGCAAGAAATAGGCATATGGTCCAATGTTCTCAAAATCTAGGAGATTGTCTGAATCCCATGGCATAAAAGAAATTGTTGGAAGGAAGGGTTATTTAATGGACGGAGCCCCAGTCTACTCTCAAGGGGGAAGAAATTTACTGCACATAAACTTGCAAGTAACAGCAATACAATGTCTAAGGATACTGGGGATGCAGGATAATGATTCACCTTAGATAGGTGCAGAGACAGTCCTGAGGCTGCCAGAGACATCTTCAAAAAGATGTCCTAAACCTGTCTTATGTCAAACTAATAATGAGGAGAAATGCTCAGGGATGGGAGTAGTGGTTGGGAAGGAGGCTAAGAGGCTCCAGCAGAAGCAAAAGATGATTCTTTCTAAGGGAAAACGATTCTTCTTGACTACGTTGTGTAGAGGAAGTTTCATCTGAACCTTGATTCTAAAGGGTACCTTATAGCAAATAAATTATATCAATACCAAGGTAGTTGACTAGGTTTAATCTGTTGATATGTAATGCCTTGTTTGTGGGTTGATGATTTCAAAAGCCCTAAAGTTCTGGTTGATTATCTATGTCTAGTAAGGACTCAAGAATGAGAGGTGGTACTTTCCCTGCCACTAATTTATTATACTTAGCTTCTACTGATTAGGCAAGTATTTTCAAGGTGCTTCAGTGGTAGCACCAGTAACCAAGGTAAGATGCCCTCACACCTAACTTCTTTCCACGTACACCTTGCCCATCTTCCTCCAGACAAAAAGTGGCATCTTCATTTTGCTATTTGCATTTGCTTTCTGTCAGTTATATGTGGCACCAAGAATGTAACCTGGTCGCCAAAGCAACGTGGCTACTTGTAGACAGATAGCTTGATATAACTGTTAAAATCACTGAACTTTCATTATTTCCTGAATTTCCACTTCTATAGTGGTTTATTAGTCAAGGCCCATATATGAGTAGACAAAAAACTCAGCAATAACAAATGTGCCCACCAAATCTTCTCCACATCTTACTTATTTTTCTTTTTAATGGACCCTTCACAAACGTTAGTTGCAGGATTCTTCAGGATAAACTGTTTCCAACTACTACAAACAAAGAAACAAAACCCAGAAAAAAAATGCTTGGTGTCAGTAGGAAGATTTGGGGCCCCAAAGAGAAAGCATGGTACTCACCCTGCAATAACTGAGTGTGTGCCCTCCTATATGATGTGCATCTGTGAAAAAAACAGTAGCTGCCCTACAAGGACAGTTTTAACAGATGAGGCTTCTACTTCTCCAGAATGGCATTGTCCAATATCCAGAATGGTATCCACATGTCACTATTTAAATTTAAGTTTAAATTTAAATTAGATAAAATTTAATTTTTAATTACATTTAAAATTCACCTATTCACTCACATTAGCTGTATTTCAAGTGCTCAATAAACACGTGACTTAAGCCTACCATCTTGGAAAGCATAGAGCACATTCGAGCATCACAGGAAGTTCTGCTGGGAAAGGAGAGGGATGAGAGAGAATATTTTTAAATTATGAATAGGGTTGGGTAGGTTGAATCTGATCTTTTCTACAAAGCTTAGAGCACTATAAAAAAAGGCACATTCTTGAAATTGAAAAGAGTTAAATTAAGACCGGTTTCCTTGGTAAGCAGCAAGATGTAAGCATAGAGAACTTTACAACCAAAAGATTGTAAGATAAAATAATTTCCAAAATGACTATGATCGGGCGCCTGGGTGGCTCAGTTGGTTAAGCGACTGCCTTCGGCTCAGGTCATGATCCTGGAGTCCCGGGATCGAGTCCCGCATCGGGCTCCCTGCTCAGCGGGGAGTCTGCTTCTCCCTCTGACCCTCTTCCCTCTCGTGCTCTCTCTCATTCTCTCTCTCTCAAATAAATAAATAAAATCTTTAAAAAAAAAACTATGATAGTTCTACAATTGGGTTCTCTTGAAGTCAAAAACCCATTTCTAGATGTCATGTGTTGGTAAGTAGAAATCTTCAAAGAATCTGACTTTGTTTTATAATTACTCCAAAAAACTTCTGTTCCATTTAGAACCTCACAATCCAAGAAAATATGAAAAGATTCCCAATATTTTGCATAAAATTGTTCCTTGCTAGTGTGGGATCAAGATGAGTGATAAGAGCATATCGTAAGCAAATACCATCATCACTGAATATTTATAAAGCACTTGTGATGTATACAGAATCATGCAAGTTTGAGAGCTAGCAGTTTAACAAGTGGCTGCCTCTATACTCAAGTGAAAATCATCAACAGAATAATTCAAGTTTGAGAGGGGCAAACACTTAAAATATGTGCCATTCTGATTAATGAGTAGTGGTAAGAAGAATGCTAATACTTGAAAATATAATAGTAATACGGCCTTTGTTAGAAATAGGCCTATGAATACAACAAATGTTTTTACAAATGGTGACAAGGAATTATACGTATATATGTGTCAGGAGGGCACCAGAACTTAGCCTTTTAAGGAGAGTTTTCAGTAGATTTATTTGTTCCATGTACTGGAATCCTTTTCCCCAAATATATCACTACTTTTGTTACAGGAAGGGGCACAAAACTGAAACACTGGCTCACCGAAGTTTCTGAAATGAATGGAAAATTTATTCTAAAATAGTATTATAGTAATTGTCAGCAATGTTCTTGATTTAGGATGAAGCCGGATAATTCCAAAATGTAGGAGAGCTTTAAGTTGTCTCTGAAAATATTTCAGTTCAGTGACCTGGTAAGTCAGTACCTTGGAAAGGGCATAACTATTTACCATTGAGTTTTCAGAAGTTTACCAGGGCAGAGATCTTGACAGCATACTTACTTGACATCGTTTGCTTTGATTATGAGATCTATGGTTAAGAGCAGATTTCTGGACCTAAAATTATTTAATGTAGGGTCTTAACTGGGTTCACTTATTCATCTGCTGCCAGCTATAGGTCAGTCTGTGCCTCCACTGAAGGTGGATAGCCTTGTCTGGAAAGATCAAGGTGGCTGGGGCTGGGCTTCACAAACCTTATCCTCTAGCAAGCTAGTTGAGGCACGTCCTTTTCCTGGTGAGATATTCGATCACACAAGCACCTCCGAAGCCTCTCTTTGTGTCACATGTCTATCTCCCATTGGCCCCAAGCAGGTCACATGACCCTGAGACAAGGGTGGGGCCAGGGGGCCTACGGTGCGTATTTGGTGGGGGGATGGGTAAGAGGAATCAGGGTCATCAATGCAGTCAATCCACGGCAATGTATATTTCACCTAAATATAGAGTGTATAGAAATCAGAAGCAAGGTTTAAATGGAAAGGGTTTTAAAAAGAGACATTGCATTTATGTCTTCCTGAGAGAGGAGTTTCTCCCCAGTTTTTTTTTTCTTTACAGATTTTAAACAAACGCAAAACTATTCTACTAAAGTAACTCAGAAAGCAGATCTACTCCATGGGGTGCCTGGGCGGCTCCCTTGGTTAAGCATCTACTTGGGGCTCAGGTCACGATCTTGGGGTCCTGGGATCAAGCCCCACATGGAGCTCCCTGCCCAGGGGGAAGCCTGCTTCTCCCTCTCCCTCCACCTCTCCACCCTGCTCAGGCTCGCTCGCTCTCTGTCACCCTCCCTCACTCCCTCCCTCTCTCTCTCTCAAATTAAAAAAAAGAAAAAAAAGTAGATCTACTCCAGCCAAAATAAAATTTTAATCTACAATAGATAGAAATTTTATATCCACCTGCATAGCTCTGTAGTAAATGGCTGTTCTGAACCTACATGAATGCAAAGAACAGGTTAGCAAATAAAAAAGGGTGTCAGTTAATTTCTCGGGGGGGAAAATGTTCTTTCTGAACCAAAAGTTATCATGGTTTATTTTTTCTTATACAAAAGGTTTTTTCCCAAAGGAATTTATATGTATATAAAACATAAATTTACTTATTTATAAATTTATTTATAAAATTGTTATGTTATATATGTTATTTATAAAGATATAATATAAAGGTACAAAGAATGCCTTCTCTAAAATTTTCTTCAGAATTTGGTCCATGGACAAACTGGAAATATCATAGCACATAAATGTGTGTCTGAGAAACAGAACCTAACAAAGACCATTTCTCTACCAACAAAGTTAAACACAATGACCTAAATGATTCCAGACTCTCTAAAAATGACAGTTGAGGTGGAAAGGGGAGTTTGGTGTGAATTAAACATATGAATTGTCTTCAGTCAGAAAACTTCCTATATAATCACCCCTTTGTTTTTCTGTTTAGGCAGCGCCGGAACTTAGTCTTTAAAGGAGGATTAAGGAGAAACAGGAAGTTTGGGCTGCTCTAAATCCAGCCTTCATAGCCACAACCTTCCAGCAGGCAGGAAGGAGGAAGACAGCATGTCCCCACGCTCAGAAGTATAAGTGGCACTTCATTTACTTCCTGCCACCCAGAACTTAGTCACATAGCTGCACCTGCCAGTGAGGGAGGCTGGGAAATGTGGTCTCCATTCTGAACAGCCGATGCTTAGATAGAATTTGGTAGCTCTGTAACCAGCAGAAGGAGAAAATGAACATTGATGGAACCTGGCAGGGGACGGGGGTGTTGTGAAATGGTAGCTCTTTCACAGTAGGCAATCTCTTCTGGGGACTCTCTGTGCTGGAGAGCTCAAGCACTTCCTCATTTAGTTTTTCTCAGAAATCATGCTCACCAACGCTAGTGACTGAATCCAGGAATTGGACCTGCTTCTACCTCCACTTTCTTCTTTCTACATTCCCTGGGCTCCCAATACCAAAAGGTGATGGGGGAGGGGGGCGCCTGGGTGGGTCGGTCCATTAAACATTCAACTCTTGGTTTCTGCTGAGGTCATGATCTCAGGGTGGTGAGATCAAGCCCAGAGTGGGCTCCACTCTTGTCCCTCCCTCTCTCTGCTCCTCTCCCTGCTCACTTCACTCTCTCTCTCTAAAATAAATTAATAAATAAAATCTTTTCTTAAAAAAAGGTGATGGGAACGTTGTCAGGAATGAAAAGAAAATGGAAACTCAGAGAAGAACCTCCATGTTTGTCACAGTGCCCACCATTAAACATGAGCTGAACGACGGAGTGTTTGATGATTCAGACAAGATGGCCCCTTGGCTTAAAATAGTCACAGCCTAAACTGGGAGTTTAGGAAAACTAAAAAAGCTTGTGGGAAGGAAAAATGTCAATATCCATAGCAGTTCAGGAGGTTAAGCTCTCCTAGTTAAGAAACAATGAATTCAGACCAAAGCACCATCAGATTACCCTGTGACCACTTACAGAGCCTCTTCCACCTTTTTCCTTAGAATGGCTAAGGATTTTTCCAGAAGAGATGGGCAATATAGAACTTGGGGGTGGTAGAACAAGCAAGGAGGGGTAACAGTGGGATCACTTGCCAAGCGCTGGATATACATAACTGCTATTTTCCAAAGACTCTTCGAATTTGGTCCCAAAAGCGAATTGAAGACAAATGCTTACTTAAAATTGTGTTTATCACCCTGCACCACATCCTTGGTCTTACCCAATATGCTATTTAGAAAATGTGAAATACGGGGCGCCTGGGTGGCTAAGTCAGTTAAGCATCTGCCTTCAGCACAGGTCATGGTCCCCGAGGCGCAGGATCGAGTCCTGCATCGGGCTCCTTGCTCAGCGGGAGCCTACTTCTCCCTCTGCCTGCCACTCTCCCTGCACGCGCTCGCTCTCTCTCTCTGACAAATAAATAAAATCTTAAAAAAAAAAAAATGTGAAATAATAGGGCCTGATCCAACAATCTAGTAACCCTAGTGCTTAGCTGGGGAAGCTAAGAATGAATGTTGGTTGACATTTTAATTTTTTTTAAATTTTATTTTATTATGTTAATCACCATGCAATACATCGTTAGTTTTTGATGTGGTGATCCACAATTCATTGTTTTTGTTGACATTTTATTTATTTGACACAGAGAGACACAGCAAGAGAGGGAACACAAGCAGGGGGAGTGGGAGAGGGAGAAGCAGGCTTCCCGCCGAGCAGGGAGCCCGATGCGGGGCTCGATCCCAGGAACGTGGGATCATGACCTGAGCCGAAGGCAGACGCTTAACGACTGAGCCACCCAGGCGCCCCTGTTTTTGTTGACATTTTAATAGCAGGCATTATTAGGTAGTTTTTGGTTTGTGGATTTTTTTCCCCACACATAAGAAAGAACCAGGATTGGGGCACCTGGGTGGCTTAGTCGTTAAGTGTCTGCCTTCGGCTCAGGTCATGATCCCACGGTCCCGGGATCAAGCCCCGCATCGGGCTCCCTGCTCGGCGGGAAGCCTGCTTCTCCCTCTCCCTCTCCCACTCCCCCTGCTTGTGTTCCCTCTCTCACTGTGTCTCTGTCAAATAAATAAATAAAAATCTTAAAAAAAAAAAACAGGATTATGCCTTCTAACTTCATGGCAATAAGAAATACATAAGTTTTGACAATCTTTGGTAGCTTAGAGTTATTTCTCACTATGCACATTAACCAGTACAGACCCTCCTGAGTCTAACCTTTCGCCAGATGCGGGCTGCAGATGAACGCGCTCTTGGGCTTATGGGTGCTAGGATTCTGTGCATCTGATGTTGAGCCTTGGGCTTGCCGAAATGATAACCCCAAGCGTTCTCTCCTGCTTTTCTCTCCGCCCTCCCACCCAGCTGTGAAGTTCGGCAGGATGTCCAAGAAGCAGAGGGACAGCCTGTATGCTGAGGTGCAGAAGCACCAGCAACGGCTGCAGGAGCAGCGGCAGCAGCAGAGCGGGGAGGCCGAAGCACTGGCCAGGGTGTACGGCGGCAGCATCAGCAACGGCCTCAGCAGCCTGAACAGCGAGGCCGGGGGCACTTACGCCAACGGACACGTCATCGACCTGCCCAAGTCCGAGGGGTATTACAGCGTGGATTCCGGCCAGCCGTCCCCGGATCAGTCAGGACTTGACATGACTGGAATCAAACAGATAAAGCAAGAACCCATCTATGACCTCACGTCCGTACCCAACTTGTTTACCTATAGCTCTTTCAACAACGGGCAGCTAGCGCCGGGGATAACGATGACTGAAATCGGTAAGTGGGAGTCTCCTCCCAGCTCCTTTTTGGTAATTCTGCTTTGAAGTCGCCTTGGTCCTGTGTATTATGGTCGTGCTCATAGGTCTAGGTTCGATGGCTTGCATGCGTGGCTTCTAGCGAAAAACACTATTTGATTTAAAAGTTTTTTGTGATAAATGTCATTGGTCCCCTGCCCCATAAAAGTTGATGTCAAGTGAAGGAAGAAAGAAGAAATGATCAACAGGAAGATGCTATCTGTAAAGAACAGATGCTCTCTGTTGAATTTGGGTTCATCACTGAAGGAAAACCGTTATTGGTATAAACAGGAGAATTTCAGCAAGTATTCAGAGTGATACCATTCAAAATAAAATAGCTAAGGGATGTAGAAGTAGTATGTAATACCTGAATGAACAGGGCTCCAGATCTTCCTCTAAGATAACTTGGGACTCGCCAGAAGCAAATGGTACCTCAGTTTCCTTCTTTTTAAAGGCAGAGGGGTAGACCAGAAGACCACTATGTCTCTTGTAAATCTGAATTCAAGAATTCTACCTGGGAATAGAGTCTAAATTCCTGGCAGTGAAAAGAGGGTAGTCTGGAATGTTACAGAACATATGAGCAACCAATAAGTTACACTGAATATTGCAGCTTTATTTTACCCTGCTAAGCTCAGGAGTCTATTAAATGTTTAACCAGTTGATCTCATTAACTAACTGCCCTAAAAATATTGATGTAAATTTAATCCATGAGCCTCCTGGGTCATGAAGTTGCCTGTTAACAGTAGCCTAGAAGAGCTACATGAAGAGTGGCTCTATCAGGCTTCATTGTGTTACTTGGTATGGGGGGGTGGGAGGGAAGTGATCTAGGCCTCAGGAACCTTGGAGAAGCCTCCTCCTCATGTCCTGCCCTGAGAGGTGGCAGAACCAGGGTCACTAAGAACCAGGCCACCTGAGTTCAGATGCTAACTCTGGCTTATTATTTAAGCTGGAGCCCAAGTTCCTGGATCCCAGTTTGCTCATCTTTATAAAAGGAAAAGTATTAGTTCCTAGATCACACAGTCGTAGTAAGAATTAAATGAGTTCATACTTGCAAAACAGAGCAATGTTTGATACTCAGCAAGTGTTCAATGGTTATTATTTGCATGCCAGTCACCTTCTCTGTCTAAACTATGAGTAGGAGCCCAAAGCCTACGAGTGTTTTAAATAAAGTTGATGTGAACACATAATGAAGTACATGCCATATGTATCTTGGCTACTTCTACCATCTGGTTGAGGAAGATGTGATGTTACACAGTTATAAAACCTGAAACATTATGTCTCTTTTTTAGCAATTTAGCATGTGACAGTGAGTAAAGAAGTTGTTGACAAAGCACCTGCAATGACATTCACAGCTGAGAGATACAGAAAACTAAGCATCAGCTATCATGACAAATACTCATATTTATTGCTACCCTTAACCTTGGTTTTTTAACTATGTCATAGGCACTTCACACGCATTTAATTTTCACAAACGTCTTATAAGTAAAAATATGATTCCCATTTTACAGATGTGGAAATAGAGGCTTAGGGGTGTCTCATGGCCTTTCCTGGGTCCTTTGGTTCCATCCAGGCAGTCTGATTCCAGTCCTTTTGCTTATCCATTATTCTGCTACCTGCTCTGGGTTTAATATCCACAAACTGCACTGTCAACCAACTGGGTCAGTCTTTTAAAGTGGAGTCGCTCCAGGTGCCTGGGGGGTTCAGTCAGTTAAGCATCTAACCCTTGATTTTGGCTCAGGTCATGATCTTGGGGTTGTGAGATTGAGCCCCACATCGGGCTCCACACTGGGCATGAAGCCTGGTTAAGATTCTCTCTCTCCCTTACCCTCTGCCCCGCCCCCTTTCTCCCTCTCTTAAAAAAAATTTTTTTTAATAAATAAAGTGGAGTCACTTAGTCTTTCCAATGAGACATATTAAAAAGAAAAAGAAATAGGCACCATTTTTTGCTTTTATCCTCCTTCATATCTAAGTATCTGAGTCTGGTCTTGATTTTGAATATACGTATAAAACATAATGAGGCAGAAACTCATAATCTTTGGGCAGTCTTCTGCCCCATACCCCAAAGGAAAGGCTTCTAAGAATTCAGAAACCGCAATTTCTTTGTGATTTAGAATCAGTTAGAAGTATTAGGGAGAGAGAACTACAGCCAAAGCCATCAGGTCTGGGTGCGCATCTCCCAGTAGCTTTTCCTCTCTGGCCCTCAGTCTATTTATTTATGAACCGATGCATTTGGACTAGATGATTTCAAAACTCATCCAGAGTTTCTACAGACATCAACACCCAGAAAAAACTAGCATATATTTTTCCTATTTCTCCATACCATTAGTCTTTAGGGATCTCTAGCTATGCTATAAAGTTTTGGGGGTTTCTTCCATCAGACTTTGAGGGATGCAACTGGCTTGCCGGGCTGCTATTCCCATGTTTAGCAGGCTCCCAAACCTAAGTAGCGACTTGGTTCACATTTCGTTTGAACAACAGTGCCATCTAGTGGACACAAACTGCCGTGGGTATCAAAGGCAGATAACCTATGACAAGCCACAGAATTGCGGTACACTGTTCTTTCTTGCACCATCCAAAAAACTGTCGCTCATGTCACTAAAACACCACGTCCGCAGCGGTACCGTTGGGCAAAAAGCATCAGTGGTATGGGATGGTGGTGAAGAACTCTGGTTGTAAAGCTGAATTGCCTGAGTTCAAAACCTGCCCTTTCCCGAGGGCAGTTTCCCTAATCTCTTTGGGTCTGTTGTAAACCTGGAGCAATAGTCCCACAGAGGGTGTTGATGAAATGAGTTAATGTTCACAAGTTCTTCGGAGGGCACCTAGCAAGCATAAGCTGTATTATTATTATTAATGTAATTGGTATTACAATGTGATTCCTATCATTATAATTAATAACACTAGTGGTTGTTACAAGTAATATAATTACCTTTTCTTGAGCACCTGCACTGTGCTGAGCAAGATCCTCCGTTTAATTCTCATCACAGTTGTATTGTGCCTATCACGGAGGTAGGCATATGTCCATTTTACAGATGAAAAAAGAAAAGGCTCCAAAGTTACAAAACCTGTAAAAAAGCAAAAGAAGCATGTGAGCTCAGGTCTGAGTAACATCAGAAGCCATTCTTTGGACCATTGTGCTGTATGTCCTCCCACCAAACAAAGGGAGCCCCTCACAAGTTAACTGGCATTCGCACAACAAACCTGCTTAGTGTTTGCTGCCTGTCTGCCATCCTTCTAGGTGGTACAAAGAGCGCCCAGAGTGAGAATGCTGGCATTTTGACCTGCCTTGATTAATGAGCATCTATACTAATCTGGCTGGTGGCAAGCTGTCCCAGAAAGAACTCTGTGCAGACAAAAGAGAAAATCTGGTTTTAGCCACATTCTCACTGGGTGAATTGAAGGCGATAGGACACTAAAGAATTTTTGAACATCATTCTTGGCTATTAGAAGCCCTGGTCTTCTTCCCCTGGTTTCTGAAGGAATAATGAACTGTGTACAAGCAGGACATTATTCTGATATTGAGTTTGTCATAAAAGCAGCTGTTTTTTAAAACCAGTTTTGGGAATAGTCCATGTAGAATATGGTCTTATAGCTTGGAATTAATTTAATCAAACCACATGTGTAAGAACCATGAAACAACTGTATAAGCAACAGTAGGCTCGTCCCAAAAAAGCGAGTTGAAGGAATGTCAGGAAAGTCAGGAATATTCCCCAGAAAATCCAAGCTTATCTTTCTAAAAATATACCAAAGAAACTACAAACTTCTTAGTTTGGAGTATGGAGTATGGAGAGAAGTATAAAAAATGCATGTTCACCATTTTGAGCCTCAGAGGTGGATAGGGAAGAAATCATCCCATTTTGCAGATGAAGAAATTAAGAGATTTCTCTAGAACACAGAGTTAGGTGACAAAGCTTAAATTCTGATGTAGATAACTCTACTACCCTAGACTACCAGGCATACTTTGGAAAACATATTTTTGAAATGTGCCAGGCCTTCAAGACCAGCAGATCACGGCTCCTGCCCTCACCAGCTAAGAGCCAGACATGAGAACAAACGATTGCAATTCAGTGTGTCATATATTGTAAGTCTTGGATGTGATGGCACCACAGACCCTCCTGGAGGGTGAGGGAGATGGGGGGTATTGCTTACTCTGAGCCATATCTCTTAACAGGAATGGTTTATTCTCATGGTCTTGGAAATAGAAAACAAAATGCGGGTAAACAAAAATATGAAACATTTCAAGAATTATATCCTTGGGTTTCTCAAAATCCCGTAGGACAAAAAGCCATGAAATAAGACAAGGATGAAAGTAAGATGCAAATTAATATTTAGGCAGGAGTATTAACTGGGCTTAGCTGGAACTTTATTTCAAGCTGGCGTGAGGCTGTGTTATATCTTCGGGGATGAAATTTTGCAGTTGTGGGTGGCAGCGAGAGGACACGGGCTAACGGATACCCAGCGAGTGAGCAAGCAAAGAAGGAAGGGGAGGCTCCTGTATGTGCTCCCCACTGTAGCTCTTAGATGGGTTGGGGGATTCTATAGGACCAGTCCTCTTAATGAAAGCTCATTTAAGCTCAAAGATGATTGACAGCATATCTGCGAGGTACTAAACAAGACAGTTCAAATAGCCAAACAATATGCTTTTAAAAACGGGGGGGGGGGGGGGGGAATCCATCAAATTACCTGTGAGGCTAAGTGGATAAATTACCTTTTACACACATCGCCTGAATTTGTTGTTGCTTTTAGCAATTTTCTCTCCAAAGACAAAGAAATGTGAATTCCTTGGTCTCTCCTATATAATCTTAAATATAGATTTAATTTCCTATTTCTTGTGTCCTCTATTTATGGAGCCTGGCATAAAAACTAGACATAAACCTTTTTTTTTAATTACCTATTCCAGAGGCTGAGTGTTACTAGAGGAGATTGCATAGAGATTGGTATGAAAGTGACCTAGTCCCTTTTATACTACTATTGAATTCTATCAAG